TTATTTCGTAAAGTTTAGTCAAAACTGGGCCTAAAATAAAAACTGACGTTATTTTGGCTCATTTTCGAAGAAGAAATTTATTCATTTAGTAAAAAACGAAACGATAAAAAGGTACTAAAAGCCAAAAAAAAACAGCAAAGTGGATCAAAACTAACATTATTTATACTGAAAGATTTAGCTCGTTTTTCGAGACAAAAACTCATTTAATTCTCAAGATTTCCTCACAAAAACTAAAAATTTTACAAATTACATTACATTTTGACCTGTTTCGAGAGAAGAGACGAGAAACTTACTTATTTCGCAAAATTTTGTCAAAAAATACATCAAAATTAACGTTAATTTGGCTTGTAAATTGACATTATTTAGCTCTGTTTCGCTCAATTTTCAACGAAAAACTCTTTTTTCTTTAGTAAAACATTGTTAAAACAAGCCAAAAATCACCAAATCGAGAGAAACATTTCCTRAAAAAAGAGCCAAAATATCAAAATCTGCGTAATTTTGTATTTTCGTAAGTGAAAAGCGATAATAAAAAAATTAATTTCAAAGAACAAAAATCGAGAAATAGTTTTTAAAATGCTTTATTTTCACAATTCGAGGTAAATAACAATTCTTTCTAGAGATTAATTAAAACGTGCATAATTAAGACGCCATGAATGCCTCTTTGGTCAAACCAACCTGAAACAAAACTGTTATTAAAATCAACATTTGCAAGAAAATATCACACCGATTCGGCTTCTTTTTTAACACATGCAGCCATCGAAGCAGCACTTTCGCAATGATCATCRGACATTTGCTCTAAAACCACAAAAAATCAAACAAAAAAACACAAAAACACAAAACATACTCTTCGCATCGCAAGCATCGATAACTTTCAAAATTTTCCCATAAATATCAGCATCTTGCGACTTGATTTCATCGAAAGCTTTGATCGCAGCGTCTTTATCAAAAGTCCCGTCGTCCTTCATCTGCAAGAATTTTCTCATAATTGAATTAAATCAACCAAATTTTACCATTTTGTAATGTTTGTAGTAACAAGCGATGACGCATTTCGCCTCGTGGTGAGTGGGGGGGAATTTGTGTTCCATTATTTCAATCATATCGTCTAAAAAAAAAAATTATTTTTAATTTTTTTATTTTTTAAATCAAACCAGCAGTTGCGTGTTCCTTTTCTCCACAAGCAGTACCAACAGCTTGCACCTCCTCAGTCAATTTCTCCAAAAATTTGGGGTCCAACTAAAAATTTTCATAAAAAAAATTTTTTTTTAATTATACTAACCGCAGCGTGGGCCCCCAAAACACAAACAGCCAAAACTACCAAAACTTGCATTGTGCGATTTGTGATACCAAACAGTGAGTTTCGCTCATTTTATACCAAATTTTGAGCAAGTCATCAATTCATTTTTAATTCAGTGTAATCAAAATGTATTTAACCCCCAAGTGGCTGAAATTTGGTCATAAAAACCGCAAATTTGTTGAGTCACCGTGTATTTAGCGTAATTAGTCTACACAACTAGGCATTAACTGCAATTAATCTAAATATACTCAGCGAACATAATCCAGTACGTCCCATTGAGGACAGTGAAGAGTAGAGGGAAAAAAACCCGACTAAACCTATCAATGTTGATGGCCCTATTTCTGGCCCTTTGGGCCGGAGTGACCGCTGGGTTTTTTTGAGGGCCGCTTAACAGAAACGAGTTTTCTTTCGCTGCCATGTCGAAAGCCGTTTCAGGTTTCTTGGGTTGGGGCGGTTTGGGTAGGTCTGAGTCGCCCAGGACAATATTGACCAAACAGTATTCCATAAGGGCCATGAATACGAATCTGAAATTTTTTTTTTTGCAATTGGAATTTTTTTTGGGGGCTTTTACATCGTGCAAACTGACATAAATGCGTCCACGGCTTTCAGGTAAGAAACCGGGGGAAGGGAGGCTTGACTTTTGGCGTGTTGGGTCGAGAGGGTTAGCAAAGAGGTGACTCCTAGGGTCACACGAGCTGGGGCTGCTTCCGGTTTGATCCAGAAGGAGACCCACTGGAAATAACAATTTTATTTACCAAAAAAATTGGTATAAAAATGACATTTTTGGGCGAAAATGGGATCATAATTGCTTTTCAGGAAGTTTTTGAAATTTTTTTTTCAAAATTTTGATATTTCGTTGAAAATTTTCTCCGAAATTAGGTTGAATATGATGTTATTGCTTTTTCCAATCGTTAAAACATTAAAATCTCAGTTTTTTTCAAAAAATTGTTAAATCGAATGAAAAAATCGGCAAGTAATGTAAAAAATTAAATTTTTTTTTAGCTTTTTCGAGACTGTAAACAAGTTTTTTTTGTAAGATTTTGCTATATTTTTTCAGTTTTGTTTCAAAATCAAAAAAATCGCTAAATTATGTCGAAAAATTAATCATTTATATAGAAAATAACATTATTTTTGCCTTTATTAAACCTTTTGGCATGTTTTTCAGTCAAAAAAAAACACCAAATTGCAAAATGATATCATTTTTTCAAGATTTCGCTAAAACATGCAAAAAATCACCACACCACTAAATCGACCACTTTTTGCTATTTTGTAGCCCAAAAAAATTATCTTATTGGATATTTATTTTTGGTTACTTTGAAAGTTTTGTAATGTGTTTGGCTCAAAAAAATCGCCAAATTATGTCAAAAATCATTAAATTAATTACAAAATAACATTATTTTTGTCTTTTTTGGGATTTGAAACAAGTTTTTAAGAAAAAAAACGGCTTTTTAAAGAGATTTTGCAATTTTTTTCAGTTTTATCATGTGTTTTGCTCAAACATCAAAAAATCGTGATACTATGGTCAAAAAATCACTAATTTATGAAGAAAATATTTTTTTTGCCTTTATTGAGCGTTTCAGTAAAAAAACATCAAACTGGATTTAAAATCTTATTATTTTTGACATTTACAAACGCTTAAACATGTGCTTTACTAGAAAACATCGAAAAACTATGTCGAAAATCAGAACATTAACTGAAAAATAACAGTATTTTTGCCTTTTTCGGGACCTAAAACACGTTATTGAGAAAAAAAGAGATTTTGATACTTTGTAACCAAAAAGAATTTATCTTAAATATTTATTTTCGCTTTCTTTGAAAGTTGCTTCATCTGTTTTGCTAAAAAGAAACAAAAAAATCACTAAATTTTGTGAAGGAATCGTTAAATTAATTGAAAAATAAGCCTTTTGCCACATTTTTCAGCATACCGAAAAAACACTAAACTGGATTTCAAATATTGTAATTTTTACCACTAGAACGCTTTAAGCCAAAAACGTTTTGTTTTGCAAAATTTCGCTAAAACAAGCCAAAAAATCACATGACATAAGATAACATTACTTTTCTTTTTTTAAGCATTTCAACACGTTTTTAACCAGAAAACGCCCATTTTTCGTCATAACAAGCCTAAAAATTACTAAATTTGATCGAGAAATTCGCTGATTTCTCAAAATAGCGTCAAAATAAACCAAAAATAACCAAACTTTGGTCAAAACATATCGCAAAATAATCATATTAGGTCAAAATTGATGTTAGTTTGGCGATTTAATTCGCTTTTAAGTCAGAAAAACACAAAAAAAAATTTTGAAGAAAAAAACTTTCTTAACAAGCCGAAAAACAGAAAATTATATGGAATATTGTCATTTTTGTTCTTTTTTATTCCTCCAAAATCACCAAATTAGGTAAAAATTTCACTAAATAGTGATTTTCAACGTTTGAGGACGTTACTTGGTCTAAAACTCAGTTGTTTTGAAGAGTTTTGCCAAAATAGACCAAAAAATCACTAAAGTGATGTTATTTTAAATCGTTTCTCTCGACTTAGTTCATTTTTTGGCCAAAAACGTATTTTCTAAAATTTTACCAAAGCAATAATCTGAAAATCCAAAGGCTCTAAAATTTCTTATTTCATGAGATTTCTTTAAAGCGAGCCAAGAATGGCCAGTTTTGAGTAATTACTTAGTTTTTGAGCAAAAAAAACTCAAAAAAATCTATTTGGGTGCTTACAGACATGATTACGATGAGGCAAGTTGGGATGTATGTGTGGAAGAGGTAGTAGCCTAAACGGCGTTTTAACTCAAAAACGACTTCAAGACAGGTGAAATTTCCTGTTGAGTAGACTTGAGTGCAATCAGCGGTGTGATTGTGGACTAAAGCCAATTGGGGTAATTCGATATTTTCATCCACGACCAATGGGACGTCAGGGTCCCATTGAAAAATCATATCGTCGGTGGTGTGTGACACTAAAAGAGAATTTTCTCGAAAATTGGCAAAATTCTAGAGCAATTCCATGTCAAAACGATCACTTTTGCGCTAAAATCGCAAATAAACGCAAAATTTAATTAAACGTCTTTTTTCTACAACATTAAGTCACAAAAATGCAATTCTCACTTTTTTCGTGAGTCTTTTGACCAAAATTTTGTCAAAAAATCAAAAAATTTGATCAAAAATGACGTTATTTTTGCCTTTTTCAAACGTTTAGTACATTTTTGAGCCACAAAATGAGTGTAGTTTCACTTCATTTCTCAAGTATTCAATCGGGTATTGAAACAAAATTTTTTTTTTCAAAATGAGAAAATCGTCGATTTTAATTAAAACAAGGTTTTTAATAATTTATCTCGTTTCAAAATCAGAAATTGATTTAATTTGAGAGATTTTAAAAAAACAAGCCAAAAATTTGGCGTTTTATTTAAGTCGATACTATGTTTTTGAGTTAGAATTTAAAAAAGTTCTTGGAAAATAAGCAAAAAATTTCTCGTTTTAAGTGAAAATAACGCTAATTTGGACGTTTTAAGCCTGAAACCCGTTTTACTCACTAGATTCGTTGAAATAAGTCAGATAATCACTCCTAAATACAACGAACGTTGAAACATTTTTTGGTGTTATTTTCAAAATGTCCTCAGAAATTTTCAGAAAACTTATTTAAAAGACTGATAATTTTATATTAATAATTTTTTTATCATTCATAAATTACTTTCCACTTAAAAAAAGCCAAAATTACACAAGTTTTGATCAAATTTGGTATTTTTTGCTATTTTTCTTAAGAAAATTTGGTAGACTGAGTAAGCTTTTCGCTCATCAATAATGAACTAAATTTCGTAATTTTATAATTTTTTTGACCTTTTTTGACGAAAACTCACGAAATAGGTAAGTTTCTTACTCAAAAACAAGCTAAACCTTCCGATATTATACAAATTATTGTCAATTTTGATCTAATTTAATGCTTTTTTGACAAAAACGAACTAAATCAAACAAACCAAGCCCAAATAACGTTAATTTTGATGTAATTTGGTAAGTTATTTGAGTTTTTTTGAAGAAATTTTTCTTGAAATAAGTCAAAATAACGTCAATTATGACTTAACTTGGCGGTTTTAAAACTTTTTGGACAAAATTTAACGAAATACGTAAATTTCTTGTCAAAACAATTTTGATTTAATTTGTCAAATTTTGGCTTTTTTTGAAGAAATTTTTGGGAAATAAATACGTTTTTTTCTCATAAACAAGCTAAATTCTTCAAAACAGTATAAAATAACGTTAATTTCGATCTATTTTGTTGAGTTTTTTTTACAAAATCTAGCCTAAACGAGCAAAATTTCTCAAAACAGGTCAATTTTCGTCTATTGTTTTTCGATTTTTAAGCCATGTTTTAACAAAATTCTGTCAAAGGAGTGACTTTCTTGCTCACTGCAAATGGTAGAAACAACGCCAATTTCTTTAAAAGTTTCATATTGTGTTTTACTCAAAAAAATCGCCAAATTATGTGAAAAAATCATTAAATTAATTAAAAAACATTATTTTTGGATTTTTTGAGACTTTAAACACGTTTCTAAAGAAAAAAACAGTTTTTTAACGAGATTTTGCAATTTTTTTATCATATATTTTGCTCAKAAGCCAAAAAAATCGCCAAAGTATCTCGAAAAATCACTAAACTAAGTGAAAAATAACATTATTGTTGCCTTTAGACATGCTTTTCAATCAAAAACGCAAATTTTC